AAAGATTGCAAGAGGGAAAAATATGGATAAGAGTCCCACAGATTTTCAGATATGCTCAGGCATTGGAGATGGGGCCACCTGGGGTTTACTGGTTCTTGGATTTAAGAAATCCCAGGGATGGAGCCCTGGCCAGGCAGCTCGGTACAGTAGAGCATTGTCCCAGATATGTTAAGGTTGTGGTTTGATCTCCAGTCAGGGCACATACGAGAAGCAACAAATGAGTGAATGGATAAGTAGAACAACAAAATGATTTCTCTCACTCTCAAAAAAAAAAAAAAAAAAAGAAAAAAAAAAGAAAAAACAGAAATCTCAGGGACGGAACAATGACCAGAAACATGAATACTGAACATTGGTGAGACAGACAGACTCCTAAAAGTGCTGCTTAATTATTTGATTCACCAATCATTTTTTACTATCAGTGAGACAGTAGTGAATAAAATAAAGATCTTGCCCTTATGGAGCTTCTATGTTGGTAGGGGAGATCAATAATAAACACATAAATAGTAAATGCCAGTGACCAGAGTATGCGGAAAATTTAAAACAGGGCAAAATGGTAAGTGCTGTTTTAAATAGGATAGACAGGGAACACTGAATTAGCAGCACTACACCATTGCACCTAGGGAAAATAAAGGATTAGCTTCATAAAAGCCTATGTTCACATTTGTGACAACTGTTCAACATGACCTTCTTTCATGTGTGTTTCTGTTGAGGCACCTTATTTAATATATATCATTGATTCATTAATATTGAATTCATGGCTAACAGCTCTACAAGTTATGTCTGAATACAGCTTATCTAACATATATTTTTTCCATAAGACAGTGGTTTCACTTCTGCTCAGCCCACCCAAGTGTTGGTGTTAAGGCTTTCTCTTCTGTACCACCACTGCCCCTCTGGGTGTCAAGGTCCCCTTGCCTATATCCTGAAAAACTAAAATGGGGCAGTTGTTTACATGGACAATATGGTTAGGTATTCAAATCTCAGGACACAGGCTTACATTCTTTTGGTCAAGAGCCACAGCCAAGCGTAGACTGCTGTCAACAGAAAGACCACACCCTTCAATGACCAGGTACATAGCTAAGGCAACTGCTTCACTTGACTCCACATGACTTCATGTTGTGCGCAGATGAATGGCAATCAATGGTCTGTAGGCACTGGCCCTTATGTGCCCCCTGGCACTGGCCTGTGAAAGTGCTGGGCAGTTCTCCCATTGCTGTCCCCTTTTCCATTTCTCCTCTCTCTTGCCAAATGATGTCCTCCCTAATTTCATGACCTACCTTTGGAGAGAACATCACTTGGCAAGAGAGAAGACATAGTGGTTCCATGTAATAAAATAAGTAGCCTAAAAAGAAATTTTGGGGGGAGACGCAATGCAGGGAGGGAATTGAGTTGTGTTCTGAACATGCAAAGTATGAGTTGCCATTCAGGTGCAGGATGTAGTTTGATAATTGAAGCAATGGCTTAAGGAAATGTGGGGCTGGAAGGTAAATTTGTTAGTGAACAACATATGTGGGTAGCATAAATACCACTGAGAGGAACAACATCATTTAAGGATAAAGAAAGGGTTAAACTTGGAACAGAAAGGGGTTGAAATCACTGTTTTCTATTGATCTTTTTGAGTGACTATTTCTAGTATTCAGTTCATTTATCCTTTTCTGTGTGAAAGTATAAAACTAGAGGAAATTCTGAATAGTTATTAAGGGGTTATCTTCTTCTTCTTTTTTTTTTTTTGGCCAGGGCATGTAAAACAATACTTAGCCTATTGAACTCAGACTGAATATAAGCTGTAAATAAGTATTACTTTTGAGATTTTTAGGCAGACTCTTGATTCTTATATATTATTGGCATCTTTGATCTGAATAATGAACCATCTTTAGGGGGGAATACTTCAAAGGAAAGAGTCTCTACCCTATATTCTCTGAAGCATGGAAGAAGCTAGAGAAAAGTTAGGATTGAGATAGCAACATTCTTTTGGGTTGGCCAAAAAGTCTGTATGTTCTTTTCTGTAAAGTAAGACACATTTTTCATTTTCACCAATAACTTTATTGATTTATATATTTTTGAGTATGTCAGCTATCTCCTGTGTGGTAGGATGTTGATTGTTCTCAATTAATGTCTTGATTTGAACACTGTCAACTTCAACAGGTCTGCCCCACCGTGGAGCATCATCCAGTGAGAAATTTATAGTACAAAACTTTGCAAACCACTTTTGACCCATTCCATAGCACCTTCTCCATACATTGCACAAATCTTTGTGTTTCATTTGCATTTTTACCTTTCTTGAAATAATAGAGCATAATATGCCAAAAATGTTATATATTTCCTTCCATTTTCAGTATTAAAATGGCTACACAAAAGTTCACCAATTTTCGTAAGTTGTTTTTTTTTTTAAATCACGCTGATATGACAGCTGTCACAATACAACCTAACAAAATTGTTTTGGATGAAGTTAAAGGCAACTAAGCGCTACTAGAGCCATCTTACAGGAAAAACCAAATGAACTTTTTGGCCAACCCAAAAGTTAATTAACCAAAAAGGTGTATGGTAAACTCAAACCTTCTAGGCAAGAGTTGTATCCAAAAATAGATCCTTGAGGAGTGGGAAGGGATGAGAGATACTGCAATATCAATATTTCTAGTTTCTTTTTTTAAAAAAAGATTTTATTTATTTTTAGAGAGAGGGGGAGGGAGAATGAGAGGGAGAGAAACATCAGTGTGTGAGAGATATATCTATTGGTTGTCTCTCTCACGAGCTGGGAACCTGGACTGCAACCAGGCATGTGCCCTGACTGAGAATCCAACCAGAGACCACTTGGTTTGCAGGCTGGTACTCAATCCTCTGAGTCAAACCAGCCAGGGCTCTAGGGTTTTTCTCATTAAAAAATACAACATTTAATAAAATAGTAATTAAAAGTTTTTAAATGGTGAGAATGGCCTTGTGGTTATTTTTTTAAAAAGTCCTTATCTTTTAGAGATACATGCTGAAATATTTATAGTTGAAATGGAATATCAAGCATTTGTTTGAAAATACTGGTGGACGAGTGGGGAGGTAGGTATGGGGTTGCATGAAACAAGATTATGAGTTGAAGCTGGGTGATGGATACAAAAGAGTTTGTTATACTGTTATTTTTTTAAATTTTTTAAAAAAGATTTTTATTAATTTTTAGACAGAGGGTAAGGGAGGGAGAAAGAGAGAGAGAAAGAAAGAGGGAAATATAGATCTTGACCTATGGTCAGGATGATTTCCTATGATGTGGGACTACCAAAACTGAGGCTCACGAAAAAGAGTTTGAGGGAGGCAGGTACTAGTCAGGATAGCAGCATTTCTGTGAATTGGGAAGCTAGGAACATATCTAGATGGATGGATATGGACAAGTGCCAGTTCAGAGTGGCCGTATTTGGAGTTGTTAGGTGCTAAAGTGGTGTTCCAGTTAGCACAGCCACTGATCCCCAATAGTGGGGAAAGACGGGGGAGGGGAAGACTATGACCTCCACTTAAAGTACTGTAGGGAGTCTATAAAAGCCAGACATGGGTAGCATTGTCTTGCATCTTATATCCATATAGGCTATCTTCCTGTTCAACTGCTCTACGCATTATTTCTTTCTGTTTTTCTCCTCATAATCCCTGCCCTTCTTCATGATCTATTAGGACACTTTTCTCGGCATCACTTATATCTCCTCTACCTCAAAACCAAGTGTTTTGTGTCAGTCTTTCTACTCCTAGTTCAGCCATGTTTGGCCTTTAGAAAAGACAGCTGGACAAAGAATGTGCTGAGAAGAGCCCATTCTAATAATGCTGAGACAAGAGAGGCCAGCCAGGTAAGATATTGGAGTGGAACACAAAGAGCGGAATGTTCTAGTGCTCCCTGCGGAGGGCCAAACACACTGAGTCCTTCCAATATATAAATAACCAAGATTTAGGGTTCGCTGATGTCATTATTACTTAAAACTCTATCTAAAACTATAACTAAGAGCACCTGCAGGTGTGAAGCACCAGGCCTTCAAACCCTGTTTTCAAAAATTGATGAGTGAAGGGCTGGAACTGGATAAATTGCCAGTCTACAGCATGTGGAAATAAAGAGCAGGCTCAGATTTTCATGCCGTGGAAGCTACCCTAGGAAATCTGGAGCAAGTTATTCTGTTTGGGAAAATAAAGAGCTACCAATTTAGTAGTTTCTCCTCAGCACTCAACTATGAAATCACTACAACTGAGATTCGGAGACTCTAGGTGAGTCAATAAATTTCACTGGGTCTTCACTTCCCCATCTATCAAATGAAATAATTAGAATAGATGATCTCTGAAGAGTCCCCTCAGCTCCAAACTTCTGATTCCATGAAATACATAAAACATACAACTACTTATTATGGAAAAGAATTTAAGGCATAAAAGGTAGGGAACTCTGAAGTATCAATCACTCTGCTTCAACATGTGTCCAAGTGTGTTTTTAGATTAAAAATTTTTTTTATTGATTGATTTTAGAGAGAGAGAAAGGGGGAGAGAGTGAGAAGGAAACATCTATTTGTCTTTCCACTTACGTACTCATTCATTGGTTGATTCTTGCACGCATCCTGACAGGGGATTGAACCAGCAACTTTGGCATATCTGGGATGACACTCTAACCAACTGAGCTACTCAGCCAGGGTTAGTGTTCAATTGTGTTTTACCTAAACACCTACTTATTCACCCTCCCACTCCCATGGCATTATTTTCAAGCAAATCTTAGACATCATCTGAAATGAATCTGATAATTTTAATCAATTCTCCTGGAGCAAAGATAGTCTATAAATAACAGATCAGGTAAAGCCAGTCTTTTCCTGGATACCTTCTCTTATTGCAATTTTAAAAACTATTGTTAAACTCAGCATTATAGGATATGAAATATTATATGGTAAACCCAGTTACATTCAGTAAAGGAAGAGCTGCCATTAGAGCACTTGCTATCTTACAAGTAGTATAGTTATCTATTGCTGTGTAAAAAATGATCCCCAAATTTTGTAGCTGGAAACAAGAAAAATTTATTATCTCATAGCTTCTGTGAATAAAGAATCCAGGAGCAGCTTTGCTGGGTGATTCTGGGTCAAAGTTTGTCAGGAGGTCACAGTTGAGGTGTTGGTTTAGTCATCGAAAGGCTCAACTTGGCCAGGGTCCAATTCCGAATTCACTTATAGGGTTGTCGGATGACAAGGTAGTTGGCTTCCCCTAGAGTGAGGAATCCAAAGGATGAGAGAGAGAATCCAAGACTGAAGCCACAATCTTTTTTATAACCTCATCTTGTTAGAGAAATCTCATCATTTTTGATATATTCTGTAAGTTAAAAACCAGTTAGTAAGTCTGCGCCACACTCATTGGAGGGACATTACACATTGGCATAAACCAGAAAGGAGGGGTCATTGTAAGCTACAATGAGAGGCTATGCATCACATGCTAAGTACTTTATTGATTACTGAACTAGTCTATTGGATAGTTATAGCTTATTATAATTAATAAATGGTCTTAATTCTTATAAATATCATTATACCCACTTTACAGATGAGAATTAAGTAACCTGCCTAAGGATGGAGTAGAAGAAAGCAAGGGATAAACAGACTGATTTATTTCAGCTGTTTATATTATTTTCTAAGAGTCTATTATATATTGCTTATTCTGCTAGGGATACTGGGGATCTGGAAGAGAAATAAGACATTTAAATACACATATGTGAAATATGTCAACCCTGCTCTCACAGGGCTTACAATATAGTATGGAATTCAGACATTATTCATATTCATTTCTGTGGGTGCAATAAACCAGGAAAACAGGGAAAAAACTCTCAATCTGTGAGTGTTAATAAAATGTATCCATTAAAAATTTTTGTTAATTTTTTAAAATTAAAAGATTTTGTTTACTTTTAGAGAGAGGGGTAGGGAGGGAGAAAGGGAGAGAAACATCAGTGTGTGAGACATATATCAATAAGTTGCCTCTCATACCCCCTTACTGGGGATCTGGCCTGCAACCCAGGTACATGCCCTGACAGGGAATCAAAACCTTTCAGCTTGCAGACCCACACTCAATCAAGCCACACCAGTCAGGGCTGTTTTTATTTACTTAAAAATTTTTTTATCCTCACCAGGGGACATTTTTTTCATTGCTTTTAAAGAGAGGGGAGAGGGCATGGGGAGAGGGAGGGAGAGGTATGGGGAGGAAGGGAGAGGGAGAGAGAGGGAGAGGGAGGGAGGGAGGGAAACATCTATCAGTTGCTTTGTCTACACACCCACCTGCAAACTGGGTATGTGCCCTGCACCCACAGACAACCTGGTTATATGTTCTGACCAGGAATGAAACTCACTCAGTGACATTCTTCTACCAGACCACACTCCAACTAACTGAGCCACACCAGCCAGGGCTATATTAAATGTTTTAAAAGATTACCAGAGAGAGGGGGAGGGAGGGAGGGAGAGATGGAGAGAACCAAACATCAATGTGGTAGAGAAACACTGACCAACTGCCTCTCGCAGGTTCCCAACTGGGGACCTGGCCTGCAACCCAGACATGTGCCCTGGCTGGGAAGACAGGCAACTTTTAGGTTCACAGGCCGGCGCTCAATCCACTGAGCAACACGGCCAGGTCTAAAAAGTTTTAAACTATTAAATAACTTGACCTTGAGAAAGGAAGGACAAGACGTCCACAAGCTAAATTTCTAAGCATTAAACTTCCGTTTACATTGTCAATGTCAAAAATTGGTTTCCAATGGGCTCAAACCGACTCTAAACATTACTAAATAAGCCTTATTTCTACTGCTGTGCATTTCTACTCAATTCAGACTGTGGTTAGGAAAAGAGTTTCTGCTGTTCGCTACAAAATTCAAATTATCCATACATTCAACAATCTTCAGAAGTAAATTGACAACAGGGCCCTCACGACCGCCTGATTTCATATTTTTTGTCAAAAATACAGATTGAGAAAGTGATTCTCAGGAAAATTGTCATTATATGTGAATACTCACTAGATGTGCACAAATCTTACCAGCTCTAATTTTGACTTGCCAGGGAATCTGTGAAGTCTCGCCAAATTTTCCATCTTGCAAAATTTGCATTAAGGCCAAAGGCCCACGTTTGTATCCGTGTAGATACGGAAGCTACACTTAGGAGGCAGGAGAGCACTGATTATTTAAATAAGCGATTTCCACATTCAGATTTCCCATTCTGAAATCTCGGCAGAGGTGGTGACGCGGAGCGCGGCCATGGACTTTCATGGGGCGCCGCAGCCGGGAAGCACCAGTCGGCGAGTCTCTCTCCGGCCTCTGAGGCCAACCGTCTTGTGTGGAAATTCTAACTCCCACCCTGGGAAGGAATCTTCTCATCCACAGACCTGCATCCCTCCCGGCACTCTCCTTAGTGACTTTGAGCGATTCGCCGTCACTTTCCCCATCGTTAAAAGACCCGAGAAACAGCCGCCACCTGCCAGAGGCCAAAGCAATAAACCTACATCACAAGGTGATCTGGGCTCGGAAGGAAGGGCTGCAAGGAAGCGCCCTGGGGCCTTTCTCCTCAGCTGTTTCTACTCGTAACCCAAAACTCAGACGCGCAGCTGGGGCTCGCTAGCTGACTGCGCTGCTGCCCCTCGTACGCAGGGGTCGCGGCGGACGAGGAGGAGGAGGAGGAGCCGTGGCCGCTGGGCCTCCGCCATCCCCGCGGGCGGGGCTCGAGTGCTGCCCCGCCCCCGCATCCTCCCCGTCCCACCCCTCCCCCACACCCTTTTCCACCCGCCCCCGCAGTAGGAAAAGGAGAGGGAGGAGGGTAGGAAACTGCTGTTCGGTGGAAAGGGGCGGAAGGAGAGGAGGGAAAAAAAGAAAAAGGGAACAGAAACATGGCCGTCAGCTGTCTGGACCGCCGTGCCTCAGGCGGCTCCTAGGCGACCCGCCGCCCGTACGCCTGGCCTGTGGTGAGAAGAGGTGCCGGCGCGAGTTCGCTCTCTTGGCCGTTACCCCTAGCTGCATGCGGCGCCCCTGGGGACCCAGCCTGTGAGGCGGCGCAGGCGCAGATAGCGCCGTGGCAGCGACTGCGGCAGCTGCGGCGGCGGCCGAGAGAGCAAGTCCCCCGCCCGGCCCTGCCCGGCCCTGCCCAGAGCGCCCAGACCGCGAAGCCGGCGCTTTCATGCCCCAGGAAGGGGCTGTGTCCGGGGGGCACTGAAGGAGGAGCGGGAGGCAGGTGAGTATGCCGCGAAAGGCCTTTTGCGGAGGATCCCTGTGTGCGCCCGCTCCGGGCCCGTGCTCCCGTTCCGGGAGGGCACTGGGCAGGTAGCAATTCGGAGGTGGGGAGTTCCAGAGGCCTACCTGCAGGGGGTCCCCGAGCTGGCGGAGAGTGGCCGGAGCTGGCATTCCCGGCCTAGTTTCTCCGGGGTTTCCGGGGGCAGGGAGTCCCCGGAGCCTGCCGGCCGTGATGGGTAGAGGCTGTGCCAGGAAGGGCCTCTCCGCGTCCGCCGGGTTCCTGAGATTCACTTGCGTGGAAGCGCGAGCAGTCTGGGCTTTGGGGACTACCGGGGAGACTTCTGTCTGGGTGGGGGCAGGGTGGGGAAAGGGCGGGGATGGGGGAGTTTCTGTTGCGGGGCGCGGGGGGAGGTGGCCGAGGCGGGCGAATAGCGAGGAATTCTCTATCGGGATCGCGGGACACAGCGGGGGACAGTTCGGTGCTTGAGCAGGTGTCGCAGGTGAATTGAGAGCATTTCCTCCTCTGCCTTACGTTGGCCGTTCCTCAGGACTTCTTTGTTGGGGATGACTTTAAGGAAGGCAGGTTCCGTTCAATTCCAAGTGACTAAACACAAAACCAACTAATGAGCCCCTAGTGCTGACTCTTGTAAAGAGCTGTAACTTTTCTGTATTGAGGATGATGTCGTTTTTTTCCTCCCTTTTTCTGCTTCATAGACCTTTCCCTCGAGAAGACCGTGCCTGATCAGAATAAGGAATGACCCAGTTTTTAAAGAGTACCCCCCCCACACCCATTTTGTGTTTCACGCGGCAAAATGTAGGGCAGTTGCCGCAGTTACTTGTGCACATATGAGGGAAAGTGTCATTTTCAGTAAAGAACCCCCAGCAGTCTGTGTGTTTTTGCCTCAGATTTGTCAGGTTTTGTAGTCTGGAAAATTGACAACTTAATTGAAATTGTCTGCTTAATTGTGTGCACACCAGTGTTAAGGCGGTCCCGTGAGGCTCCAGTTTACAGGAGAAGTAGGTCTTCCCTTTCGGTCTCCAGTTTAGAAGTTGTAAAGTATAATATTGTAAGATAGGGGAGAATATTAGTGCTAAGGCGCTAAGTTTTCAAATATTTGATTTAAGGTGATCACGTGTATTAAGCAGCTATCTGAAATGCAGAACAGTGTTCTGTGTACAGGTGATAAGGGGCAAAATTAGTTGCAAAAGGAAAACATCTCTGAGCTTTAATACCTTTTCTTGATCAATATAACCATGAGAAAACCACCTATTTTATTTTCTTGGTATTTAAAAAATTAGTAAACTGCCTTCTTGGTGTGGGACTAGGAACTCAGAAATGAACTTCCATTTGTATTCATGTGGAAACCTCTCATGTAGGTTACTTTGACTCGGTTTTCTAGTAATGGGAAACTCAGTCTACACTTTCCCCTTATTGGTGTCTATAGTGGACATTTTGGATTAGAAATCTGATCTTTCGTATTACTGATTTTAGTAAACTGTTAATGTCGTTTGAGTTTGACTGTAGTACCTCACTTGGTATACTAGTGTTTAGACTTGTTAATTTGGATAGTAGAAAAATCTATGATGTTAAAAATGTTGAAATTGTATTTTGAAGTATTTTACACTTGAATAATTTGTAAGTTAGGCCATTCTGTTGTTGAGAGTAAATACAGTATTTTGTAGTATAAACTTGAGCTCTCAGCTGAAGAAATTGGCAGTAGAGTTGGTGTACGGAGATTGTTCTTAAAATGCAAATATTTTAAATTACAAGGAACTGCAGTGGTGTGTAGGCTGTAACAATTCATGGTGCCAGACTTGGAAGTTACTTGTTTGAGGTATTCTTTATAAAGAAACATGTTGTGTCTGCAATAAAAGCTAATTTGTAGCTCTACAGAAGGGATTTTGCATGGTAAATAATAATCCAAGAAGGCACCTTTGCTTTTTATATATCTGCCAAAGACCAAAACATTTTGTTTTTTCATTGGAGATTCTTGCCAAGACAGATAATGGTTTCACATTGACTTTGCCACTCAGTTTGAAAGTTAGGTTTCAGTCTTATCCTTGCAACTTAAGCACAGGTTGTAAAGTGAAAAAGAAAGCTGCTGAGTCACAGAGATAGATTGTTTCTTTTGGTCTTTCTGATTTAATTTTCCTATATAATATGTTTACTGATACTTAGATAATAAGGGCAAATAAACTTTAATAGCAGTACATGGATTAAAATTTTATCTTCTCTATACTAGTGCCACAATTTGTCCCTCTTTCAGGTTGTCAGTTTGACAGACTTGTAATAATGGGATGTTTTATTGGATTTGGAGATCCCTTTTTAAGAGTTAAAACTTGGAGAAATAGTTGTAAATAGTATAGCTGGTGCGAACCAGTAGGTCTTTGGCATTATCATTAGAATTTGAAACAGTATTTTTACGGGGCAATGTCAGGTAGTTTATCAACTTAAATTTTTTTCTACTTGTATTCGTACATAATACTTACATAAGTAGAAGTAATAGAGCCAAATGTGGTATTTGAAAATGTTTTTATTGTAAAGAATATAATAATTAAAGGAAATTTAAAAGAAAACATTTTTAATATTATGTTTTTCTGTACATTAATTCTATTATGCTTGTATAATATATATTTTTAAAATATTGTTTATTTTCTTTTTTCAATGTTATATTAGTTTCAGGTGTGCAACATAATGTTTAGTATACTTGCATAATATGTTAACTGGTGTAATATACTTGTTATATCTGTACTTGTTTATAATTCTGTTGTTAATATTTACATAATTTTTTAAACATAACATGTTTGCTTGGTGTTGCATATTACCCTTACAGTTTTGTAATAGTTTTACTGTCCAGTTTATTTAAACTTTTCCTATTTTTTGACATTTTAATAATTCCACCTTTTTACTCTTAAAATAATGCTATAATGAAATCACTTTGCTAACATATGGTCCAAGACAAATTTCTTTTTTACATCTTTGAAAAAGGTGTTTTTGGTTTTTGTTTTTCTTTTTGCAGTGGCTGGTGTGGCTTGGTTGGAGCATCATCCAGTAACTAAAAAGTTGTGGGTTCAATTCCCAGTTGGGACACATAACTAGGTTGAGGGTTTGATCCTGGTCCAGGCTCATATGCACCCCATATGATCCCAGGTCCTGGTGCCTATGGGAGGCAACCATGCTTGTTCCTCTCTGCCATCGATGTTTCTCTTTCTCCCTTCTTCTCTCCTTTCATCTCTCTCTAAAAGCAATGGAAAAAAAAAATGTCCTTGGGTGAGAATTAAAAAAGAAGTTGTTGTTTTTTTTTTTTGCTGTAATATCCTGTTTAAAATTTTCAATTACAGTTTACATGTTATTTTGTATTAGTTTCATGTGTGGCGTATAGTGGTTAGATAGTCATATACTTTATAATATGTTCTCCTTGATATTTCCAGGACCCACCTGGCACCATATTATTACAATATTATTATTACAATATTATTATTACAATATTATTGACTGTATATTGGGTTGGCCAAAAAATCTTATTTTTTTTCTGTAAAATAAAAGACACGTTTTTCATTTTCACCAATAGCTTTATTGATTTGGATATTTTGAGTATGTTCACTGTCTCCCGATATTGGCTTGTAGTGGGTAGAGGCCAGGGGTGCTGCTAAACATCTTCCAATGCATAAGGAAAGGAATTATTTGGCCAAAATGTCATTAGTACCAAGGAACTTCACAAATCACTTTTGACACATTTGATCAGTCGCAGTACTTTCTCCATACACAGCACAAATCCTGTTTGCATTTCAGTTGCGTTTTTACCTTTCTTGAAATAATAAAGCACAGTATCCTGAAAATGTTGCCTATCTTCTTCCATCTTCAGTATTAAAATGGCTATACAAAAATTCACCAATTTTGATTTTTTAAAAAAAAATGCACGCTGATATGACAGCTGTCACAATACAATCTAACAAAATTGTTTCAAATGAAGTTAAAGACAACTAAACACTAATGTACAGAGCCATTGTGCAAAAAAAATCTAACGGACTTTTTTGCCAATCCAATTCCTACCATATGCTGTATTTTACATCTTCACAACTATTTTGTAACTACCAGTTTGTACTTCTTAATTCTTCACCTTTGATAAAGTATTTTTTGAACTACTTCTTTTGAAGTGTTTCATTAGGGCTTCTATGATACAGTATTTAATTGAGAATTGAATTAAAAAGCAAGGTGGAAAACTGTAGATGTGCGTATTGACTTGAATCCATTGAGTAGGAATCAAAGTATAAATTCATAATTCTCCCTGTTACTGACTTGCTACAAGTTTCTGTGTCTATTAATTTTACTTTTACAATGTAATAAATAATATTCTTGTAAAAATTCCTTTTCTAAAATTCATTGATTTGAGAGTGCGAGAGAAGCATTGATTTGTTGTTCCAACAACTTACGCATTCTTTGGTTGATTGTTATATGTGCCCTGACCAGGGATCAAACCTGCAACTTTGGCATTTGGGGATGATCCTCTAACCAGCTGAGCTACCCAGCCCTGGCCCCGCTAGGAATTCTTAATTCTTACTGTAATATTGTGGGGAATGTGCTTCTAAGTGTACCTTGTTTCAACCAAACCTTAAATTTACAAATTTGGATTTATAATCTTTTGACTTACAGAAATGTTTTTCTGCAGGGTTTTTATAAAAATATGAAATAAATATTCCTTGAATCTAGGTTATTTAAAATTGTATATTTGCAGTTTATTTACATCTTAATTTAGGGATGCTTAAATACAAAAGCCTAAGAATTATGACTATCTTTTTAATTATGAAAAAATTATTAAATAGATACTATGCTTTCTGCCAGGGATAAAAAGATGAATAACATACAGTCCGAATATTAAGGCCTAGTATGATAAATAGTCTCATAAATAAGGACCGTAACTACAACCCAACAAATCTAGAATAGAGCAAGCGATGCAATGAGAAGAGGGAAATACCTAATTATGTCAATTAGAGGTGGTGTACATAGGAGATACTTGATTTAAAACTCGAAGGATGATGTGAAAAGGCACCAAGTAATGAAAGAATAATGGATTTTAGTGAGTTGGCCCAAAAGTTTGTTTGCTGCTGCTTCCATGAGATGGGCTCTAGTAGTGCTTAGTTGTCTTTAACTTCATTTGAAACATTTTTTTTAGATTATATTGTGATTGCTGTGATATCAGCATGCATTGGAAAAAAAAAATCAAAATTGAATTTTTGTGTAGCCATTTTAATATTGAAAATGGAAGAAAATGTGCAACATTTTTAGTATATTATGCTTTATTATTTCAAGAAAGGTAAAAACACACATGAAATGCAAAAAAGATTTGTGCAGTGTATGTATGGAGAAGGTGCTGTGACTGATGAAATGGATCTGAAGTGGTTTGTGAAGTTTTGTGCTGGAGGTTTCTCGTTGGACGATGCTCCACTGTGGGGTAGACCGGTTGAAGTTGATAGAGATCAAATCAAGACATTATTTGGGAACAGTCAGTGTCCTACCATGCAGGAGGTAGCTAACATATTCAAAATATACAAGTCAATAAAGGTTTTGGTGAAAATGAAAAGTGTGTCTTTTGTTTTACGGAAAAAACCACATAGACTCTTTGGCCAACCCAGTATTAAGTGCAGGAATTTAGTGTTTGGCACAGGTAGTTCTGGATAGAATTGGGGAGTAAGCTATGTCATGAAGGGTATTAAGAATCAAATAAGAAATTAAGACCGTATATTGTGAGGAACAGGGAGCCATTTAATGATTTTTAAGCTGTTAAATATTTTTTACTCTATTTTGAAGGATAGATTGAAAGAACAGCTTCAAGGCATCTAGGTGAGAATTGAGAACAGCAGTGGTAGGGATGGATGAAAAAGTGGATAGATTTGGAAACATATAATACCAACATTTTTTCTTTGGCTTGAAAGCCCTGTCTCTTTAATCTATCTTCTGCTTGTCTATTGTGCATCTGTTATACCAGCCTACCATCAGGTTGTTTCCCTTAGAGCCCATGTATATGCTATTCCATTTACATTTTACATTTTCTGAGAGGTTTCTCTTAATCACACATTCTAGATAGGGAGATAGCTAGCTATTACAGCACCTTTTTATTTTCTTTCTCTGTCCCCTCCCTCTCCCTCTCTCTTCTTACTACTGTGGAAGGTATATGCAATCTGATTCCTTTTTATTTTTTCCTAGTGTGAGTCTATTCTGGTCTCTTTTTTGTTCCATTAGTTTATATCTTTAACCTTATACTGATATTATTTTGTGTTTATTACTATTACTTCATAACAAGTCTTAGAATTAGGAAGTGTCTATCCTTCAATATTGTCTTTTTTCAAAATTGATTTTTTTAGATCTGTAGCATTTTCATATAAATTGTCAAATGAGCTTGTCAGTTTCTAAAAAAAAAAACAACAGCCTATGGGGGAAGTTGACATCTGAATGAGGCTTAGTCTTCCGATACTTTAACATCGTATATCTTTCCATTTATGGGGGTGGGGGGTGTTAGTGTATTTTCTGTAGTATTTTCATTTTATAGGTCCTGTACAATTTTATTTAATTTATCCCTAAGTATTTCATGTTTTTTTGATGCTATCTTTTGTAAGTGATACTATATTTAAAAAAATTTTTTTTTGGTAGTTAATAGTTTACAAAAACAGTTGATTCTTTTGTATGTTGACTTTGTATTCTGTTACCTTACTAAATTCATTTTTTAATTCTAGTAGCTTTTATGTAGATTAATTAGGATTTTCTTCGTGCACACTCATAATGTCTACAGAGAAGAAAGCCAGATTTGCTTCTTCATTTCTAATCAGTATACCTTTCCCTTTTTCTTACATTATTTCCGCTAGCTAGATTGGTGCTATTCACTAGAAATACAGTGTTAAGCCATATATGTAATTTTAAGTTTTCTAGTAGCCCCACACTAAGAAGAAGCAAGTGACATTAAATTTAATATACTTTTTATTGCACTACATCCAAAATATTCACAAAGCTCCCCCAGGCTTGCTTTAAATTACCACAAACCATGTGGTTTCAAGTAACAGAAATGTATTCTGTCACATTTCTGGAAGCTGAAAGTGTGAATTCAAGGTGTCAGCAGGTACATGCTCCCTCTGAGTGAGGTTTATAGGAAAGAATCCTTCCTTGCTTCTTATTTCTGGTGGTTGCTGGCAATCTTTAGATTTTCTTCTAAGTTGTTGAATTTATTGGCACATAAGTGTTTATAATATTTTCTTGTTATATTTTTAATGTCTAAAGAATCTGTAATGGTATACCTTCTGTCATCCCTCATATTAGTAATTTCTCCCTTTTGCTTTTTTCTTGACTTAGAAATAATTGATTTCTATTTCTTGTTCATTTTCAATTTTATTTATTTCTGCTTTTAATTTTTCCCCTCTACTTACTCTTGGTTTAATAAATTTTTCTTTTTCAGCATCTTAAGGTGGTCACTTAGGTCATTGATTAAAAACTTTTCTCTTTTTGATATAAGTGCTTAAAACTATAAATTTTCTTCTGAATACTGCTTTAGCTACAGCTCACAAGTTAATTTTTTTTTGTGAAGTTCAAAATATTTTCTGATTTGTGATTTCTTATTCGATCTGTGGATTATTTAGGAGAGTGCCATTTGATTTCTAAATGCTTGGAGATTTTATAAGCTATCTTTCTGTTATTGATCCTAAATTTAATTTCTTTGTGGGCAGAGAACATGTTCTATATGATTTATATTCTCTTAAATTTATCCAGGCTTGTTTTATGGGCCAGCATATAGTATATCTTGGTGAATTTTCTATGTGCACTTAAAAAGAGCTGTTTTGCTGTTGTTGAGTGGAGTGTTCTGTAAATTTCAATATATTCAGTTAGTTGATAGCTCTTCAAATTTTATGTATCCTAACTGATTTTATGTATATTTGTTCTATGAATTACTGAGTGAGGAGTGTTGAATTCTCTTTAATTGTAGATGTTTATTTTGCCATTTAATTTTGTCAGTTTTTGCTTCACAGACTTTGACACTTTCTTGTTAGGTATATATATGTTTAATATTCTTATATCTTGATAGATTATATTATTGTTAAAATGAAATGTTTCTATTTACCCCTGCTCTGAAGTCATCTTTGCCTGTTATTAATATGGACAGTCTAGCTTTCTTATGATTAAAATTTACATGTTATATGTTTTTCAAGCCTTGTACAGTTTATTTTTACAACAGTTTTAGATATACAGGCACATTAAGATTTTGCAGAGAGTTCCTTATAAGCCAGACTTAGTTTCTCCTAGTATTAACATCTTATATTAGTATAGTATATTTGTTACCATCCTAATTACTGAACCAATATTGATGTATTATTATTAATGAAAATCTATAGTTTATTTAGATTTGTTTTTTCACCTAATGTCCTTTTTTTCCTATTTCCAGATTCTATCCAGATACCATATTACATTTGGTTGTCATGTCTTCTTAGGCTACTATTGGGTGTGACAGCTTCTCTTTCCTTATTTTTGATGACCATGACAGTTTTGAGGAGTACTGGGCAGGCATTTTGTTGAATGTCCCTTCCTGTATTAGAATTTTTGTGATGTTTTTCTTATAATTAGACTGAGGTTATGGGTTTTTGTGAGGAAAATCACAGAAGTAAAGTGCCATTTTCATCACATCATATCAAGGGTACATACTGTAAACATGATACACGACTTTGATGGTGATCTTGATTACTTGGCTGAGGTAGTGTTTGTCATGTTTCTCCACTATAATATTATTCCCCTCTTCCCCCTTTCCATTCTCTATTCTTTGGGAGAAAGTCACTAAACTCACCCCACACTTAAACAGTAGGGAGTTATACTCACTTTTTGAAGGCAGAGTATCTACTATGTTATTTGGAATTATTTTGCAGGGGACATTTGTCTTTTTCCTTCCTTTATTTATTTATTCATATCATTGATTTATGTCAGTATGGACTTATGGATATTTATTTTATACTTTGGGCTGTAATCCAGTACTACTTTACTTACTCAAAGAATTCCAGCTTTGGCCATTGAGAGCTTGTTCAGGTGGCACATGTGTTCCTTTAACAGATACTCATCAATGTGGGTTTGTTTGTTTCCTTTTTTAAATTTATTTTTATTATTTTTTAAATATATTTTATTGATTATGCTATTACAGTTGTCCCATTTTATTCTCCCCTTTATTCCCCTCTGCCCCGTACACTCCATCCCACCAGCATTCCCCCGTACCTTGTTGATGTCCATGGGTCGTACATAAAAGTTCTTTGGCTTCTCCATTTCCTATATTATTCGTAACATCCCCCTGTCTAATTTGTACCTACCACTTATGCTTCTTATTCCCTGTACCTTTTCACCCATTCTCCCTGCTCCCCTGCCCCTCTGATCTCCATTTCTATGATTCTGTTCCTGTTCTAGTTGTTTGCCTA